GCTAATATTCACCCACCAAACAATGTATTACCAAGAGACCTATTGACGACATTCGTCTAGTCGTCCGTCTGCGGGTGATAAGCGCTAAAGAAATCTAACCGCGTATTCGCCAAACGCCATAAACTCCGCCAAAAGAAACTAAGACATCGCGTGTCACGATCAGAAACAATGGAAGACAGAAGACCATGCAAACGATATACCTCACTAAAGAACAACTGGGCAACGTGGACGACAACCGTGGTCCACTTGCAAGGAATGAAATGGACCATCTTTGAAAAGTTGTCGACGACCACAATAAATAGAGTCTAGCCCCTCTGCTTACGTTCCAACCCGAGATCAAAGTCCATGCTAATCGCACTCCATTGTTGCGACGGAATAGGCAATGGGAAATAAAGGTCAGCATTGGATGCCACACCCTTGGACACTTGACAAATCCGATAGCGTTCGACAAAGCGCGACACTTCCCGCTGCAGTGTAGGCCAGAAAAACAAGCGTTGCATCAACTCGATGGAGCTATTGCAACCCACGTACCCTGCGCCATGCATATATGCGATCAACTTCAGGCGCAAGCTACAGTCCAGAAGGCATAAATGTACGACCCTAAAAAGAAAGTCGTCTGCCATGACATAGTCCTTCCAAGAGCCAAGCGCGAGGCGAGAAACAATCGGACCAAAAAAATGATATGTCGCATATAGGTCATGTACATCCTCAAAGTCCACCACTGCAACACGCATATCAGTATGGATCAAGGAACTACGGCTCAAGACGTCGTGCACGCGATTAGAAGCCCAGAACGGTGCATCAAGACAAATGTGAACTGCCGTAAATACGAAGTCCACGTGGCATGGCGAGTGGAGACATTGTCCTGCGAACCGATATGGCCCAGAGCCTCATGGTCGGTATACGGAACAAACTCCCGATCAAAGAGATAATGATGCCAATAATGGACAACACGAAATATAGCATAGAACTCCACATCATACGTATTATAGCATAACCGAGGGCTCGACAACTTTTCGTTGAAGATAGCAAAAAACCATCCCTCCTGACTCAAAATCGCCCCAATACCAACCTTCGACGCGTCGCAAGAGAGTTTAAAGGGTCGAAAAATGCAGTAGCACCAAAATCAGGGCAGACATCAACTTGCTCTTGATGAGAGCAAATGCCTCAGCAGTCTGCGGCATCCAAACGAACATCTTCTATGAGACAGTTCGTGATCGAACTAAAGTCGGATATGAAGTGTCCGTAAAAGAAAGCGAGGCCATGGAAGCTTCGAGATTTTGTGAAAGTAATTGAAGTAGGCAAGTCTCGAATGGTCGCGATCTTAGCATCATCGACACGAATGTCGGTCGTTGAAATAACAAATCCCAGTAAAAGAACAGAGTCGACGATGAATAAGCATTTCTGAGGCGCTGCATAAAAAGACTCGACGCATAAGATCAAAATAACCGACCGGACATGCTCCAAGTGGTCCACGGTACAACTGAAAATGAGTATGTCGTTGAAATAAACAATGACACACTTTTCAATGAGGTCCCGCAGTGCCTGATTTATCACACGCATGAACGTACTCGACACCTTCGACATGCCGAAAGGCATAACCATCCACTCAAAAAGACCCTCTCGGGTTTTTAAGGCAATCTGCCACTCGTCGCCCGATCAGATGCGAATATGATGGTAGCTACTGCGATGATCTAGCTTCGGTGAAAACCGATGTGCCATGTAATTGGTCCAACAAGTCGTCTATATGCTGAATGGGAAACAGGTAACGAACGGTAATCTTGTTGATTGCTCGGCTATTGACGCATATACGCCAAGAGCTATCCTTCTTCGAAATGAACAAGGTCGGGACGGTGCACGGAGTTAAACTCCTTTGGACCACTCCCCACTACAAAAGTTCCTCAACTTGACGCCCCAACTACTCATGTTCGGTTGGACTCATGCGATAATATGGTCGGTTCAGGAAAGAAGCTCCTGGAACCAAGTCAATTTGGTGTTGAATGTCTCGTAGAGGAGGAAGACCGAACGACAACTCATCGGGAAAAACATCAGAGAACTCCTCGAGCAACGAACCTATGACAAACGGTGGAGACTGATCGGGCGTCAAAGTCAACCTGATGAGGAGTAGAACAAATGGTGCAACACGCATCTCGGCAATGAATGCCCCCTGGGAAAGGAACAAGACCAGAGAGGGGGAGCAAGGGCGGACAACGATCTAGGCAGAGCCGGGTGCAGAACAATCTTAACACCCTCAAACAAGAAACTGTAGGTGGTAAGACGACCATCATGTGCAGCCCCACGATCAAACTGCCAGGGATAACCCAAGAAGAGGTGACAGGCTTCCATCGGGATGACATCACACCAAGTCGAGTTCCGATATGTGGCCCAACAAAAAATAAAATCAAAATACGATGGTCGACGGTGATAGCGTTGTCACGTTGGATCCATGCGAGAGTGTAAGGTTAAGGGTGCGGTTCACTAGAAAGGTGTAGCTTCTCCACGGCCTCTTGAGCAACCACTTTCTTACAAGAGCTCGAATCACTGATGAAATGACACACCTTTATGCCTATCGTGCAAGTGGACTCGAAAATATGGTGTCGTTGAAACGAATCCTCAGAAGAGAGGCGGGGCTCTAAACAAACACAACGAAGGACCAATGTCTGGTCGACATCGCCTATGAGATGCTCCTCCAAAACCGCAACCTCTTTGTTAAAATCTCAGGTCCGTCATACAGCTAGTTGTCGTTTAGTTAGCCGCCGTTATCGGAGAGTAGAGCCCGAGATCCACCAGGCCGAGGACACGCTGACTGGCGGTGTCTAAGCTCCTTGCATGCAAAACATCGTAAACCCCCTACTGTCTGCGATCCCGACAATGGAAAATGTGCCGCTGTGGACATGCCCAACCTCGCGGATATCGCGCGGCCACTCCCATAGCCTGCGACGATGAACTTGCTGATGTCATACGACCAGACGTGGACCCTCATGCGCAGAAACCCCACCCCGGACGGACAACTGGGAGAAAAGATGGCCCCGCACGGCGGGCCAACTGTTGTTGGACGAGTAGCGTCCGTTGATGGGCGCCAAAAACTAAAACGTGTGCAAATAAATTTAACATGTCTTGGATCGAAACACGCAACCCTCAAGTGTAGAGAGAGACGATTTTATCGGTTGTCTCACGTATCTCGACCCGAGTAATAAAACTATAAAATTCGTCGGTGTACTCATTTACTGACTGAGGACCTTGACGCAAATTTTACAACTGTTGATTAAATTGTACGAACGTAATTAAACAAGAGAAACTCACGCTCAATGTGCTTCTGAAACGTCACCCAAGATGAGTGTTTCTGTTTCTCGAGCCTGCGACGTGCCTCCTTCAGCTGCGGCTCGGCCAATCAAGCGGGTCGCGACCAACGCCATGCGTCGGTCATCCGACACCTCCATGAAGTCGAGTGCGTTCTCGGCTGCAGCTATCCAATCAGAAAATTCAAACTCTAAGCCGCAGGCAAATTCTGGGATGTCAACACGAAAAGAGATTCTCAACGTTGCTCCTCTGGTGGAAAATTGTCCTCTCGAGTCAGATGTCCAAAGTGTTAACGTCGGAAAGGGTGTCATCATCGTTACCTCTTCTCGATGGAGATACAGTGTCGATCTTCTTTGGCGGCATCTTGGAACGTACTGGACTCTGGATACCAACTGACACAGCGAGTGTATACGACTGGGAATAAGAGAGATAAAAGTCAAAGAACATATGTTTTTATTCAACGTTGGTTGATCGAGCCTCACAATCTGATAAATATATAGAGTTTTGAATTTCTAGAATACTTAACTTACCCACTAAGAAAATGACTAGGTAAATAAAATAATTATGCACTTACCAAACCAACAAAATACAAATAAGAAAGCAAATAAATAAGATACCAATAATAATTAATGACATTGACGATCTCGTTTTTCCATAAAAGCAAATGCGATCTCGTCGGCATCATACTTATTGGTCAAACACCTTTTTAATAAAGAGTTCTGAGAGAAGTGAGATGTTCTCTTGAACGTCCGTTTCTACTATTGGCTTCCGCAAATTTAATGAACTTACATCTTATGTAAATAAAAAGTGCAACTATTGTACAGCTGTGATATTTCATGTGTGTAGATGTTTGCAGCAATCTGAAGTACATGAATCTCGGTATCATAGCTCGAGTAGGCCTGAAGAGACATGTAAAAGAGTTGATGAGCTCTTCATTGTGCCCCTGAATCATACCTCCTTCTCTGACAGCTATGGTATATCTATCAAATGAACCAGCATGTTTAGCTTGACTTACCATAGCTTGACCCAAGGTAAGTCGAAGTCAGCCAAACAATAGCTCGAGGGCAATGAGACTGGAAAGGCAATGAAGTGGACGGCGTGGAGCATGTCTAATCTCGAAGTGTAAGGGGGTGATTGTTTATGAATTTATCTAGTTTTTAACTAGTTATTTTTTAACCATAGTTACTTTTGAAAAAAGTTGGTATGGTTAGTTGTTAGTGGTTATGTTAAAATAATATTTGAAATAAAATAATTAAAGTTGATATGATGTAAAAGTAAGAGAAAAATAATTAGAGTTGATAGTTAGTTAAAATTATGTGAGTAGATGAATAGTGAATTAAAGTTGATGTGATGTATAAGAATGATTGGTTGATATTATTTAATTATATTTATAATATTGGAGATAGTGAGAGTGAGTTAAAGTTGAGTTAAATTTGAATTTTAATTGATTTTTTTTTTAGGTGAATTGATAAACAATCACACCCTAAGTGGACATTGGGTCTCATATTGAGTTTCCAAAATACGTAGCCAGTGATGGAAAAAGACCATACTTTTAGGGCCTCCTTGTAATTTTCCAAACTCATTCTGTCCACTCAACCTCACAAGAAAGAAGTTAAGGGAGAAAGTGAAAGAAGAAAATAATCGGAGAAAATAAACGGCCAAAATAAAGAGGAAAAATCGAACTTAAGCTACAGCAAACAATGGCGACTCTACTACCTTCAACTCTGCAACTCACCAAACCAAACCCCGCCTTCCCTTCATCAGCAAGGCCGACCTCTCCGCTGAAACTCCCCGCGCCGCCCCGCTCCGCCCCGGAGGACGACACCTCCGCCGCGTCAACCACGCCGGAGTCCCCTCCCGCCGACAAGGACGAGGACTTCGAGAACCGCCTGTCCCAGGTCCGCATCCGTTATCGGAGCGGGACGGGCAAGAAGGCCGAGATCCGAAAGGCCAGGAAGGGGAAGAAAGCCGGGTCAAGTTCCGGGTCGAGCGTGTTTCTCCCTCCCGTGGCCTTGAAGGAGCCGGCTTCGGACGGGCTGAAGGTGGAGTTCGGGTTCAGCCCGTATTCAGAACGGGTCAATGGGCGGATCGCGATTCTAGGATTATCCGCCTTGTTTCTAGTGGAGCTGGCTACGGGTCAGGGCGTGATAAACTATCACTCCCCGGCTATCGTCTTCATTCAGGTGTATTTCGTGGCCGCTGTCTCCGCATTGTATGTTAAGTATGAGAAGGAAAAAATTAGTGTCTGGCCGGAGTCTGAAAATTGATGGAGTATGTCTTGATGGTTTTTGAGCTAATAAAAAACCATTTTTATGCTGATGTATTATTGCTGGTTTAATTTTCTGGTTGTTAATATTTTGCTGGCTGATGAAATTAGGGCTGCAGACGAGCCGAGCCGAGCCGAGTCGAGCATTGACCTTATCGAGCAGGGTCGAGTTCTTTTGCTCGAGCTCGTCGAGCTCGATTTTTTAGGCTCGAGCTCGACTCGATAAAAATTACAATAAGCTCGAGCTCGACTCGAAATCAAAATGCTCTAGCTTATCGGCTCGAAAATTTTTAAATGGAAAGGTAAAATTACCATTAAGCATCTATGCTAATATATATAATAAGGGTATTTTAGCAATTAACGTGTATCTCGAGCCGCTCGACAAGGCAAAATATGGGCTCGAGTTCGTGCTCGAGCCGCTCGAGCTCGACTCGAGTTCGGTCAAACTCGAGCTCGAGTCGAGCTTTGATTCGAGTGCTCGCGAGCAGCTCGATTCGTTTGGAGCCCTAGTGATGATGATGGGGTATCTTATTTTAAGGTTATGGATCAGGGCAATGTTATTGTGTTTCAATGCATTTCTGATCATATGGATGGAACTGTATGCATCTCCACAAGAACAATTCTTGAAAAAAATGTCTTGTGTATGCAAGTTTTTAGAATTGTCATATATGGCTTGGTATAGCTAAACCAAACACTTAAGTAGTTACTAATATAGAACACATTACTATCAACACAACACAAGAATAGGTATGTAAGCAAGATATAATATGTTTTACATAGTAAGGTTTAAGATCTTATCACACCAACACAAAAACTAAGAAATGAATCCAAACATTTTCACTACACCAACCAAGCGATTTTCTTTTCGATCCTCGAACACAACAATCTGTTTCTTACCACCACACCTCATGGGTTTTTGGCCTTAATCCTTAGCTTGCGGGCTATAACTGCAGCCCGAGGATTTACAGGCCTCTTATTTGAATCATTTTGCTCAACTTCCACCCAATTCATCACCTTCAAGATGAGCGATTGAGGTACTTTTCTTGCATCAGATCCATCCGCTCCCTTAACTTTCCTTGTCCCGTTTCCCAATGTTTTCTCTAAAAAGTCCATGAACCAATTGCCGGCCTCGTTTTCAATTTCCTTTCCCAGTTTGATGGTGCTCGACAAACTACAAGAACTGGCCACACTTTTGTTTTCGCAATTATTCTCATTCGCAGCCTTCTCCAAATTGACGGTCTTTTGGCTCGTTGAAGATCTCAAGTGCTTACCGAGAACCGACTTTTGCTCGGCTCTTTCAGGAAAAGCCGCTATAGATTTGTTGAAGGCGGCCCTTCTTTTGGACGCATTTGATTCCAACTTTGATCTATGGTCCATTGAATTAGGGACTAACTCATTTAAAACCGAGCCTTCTTCTTCTGCTTTTGATTTTTTAGAAGTGTTGGCAGCAGAAGTTGCTGCTTGAAGGGATACCATTTCGGCTACTACCTGCGAGATTTGGTTATGGAACTCGAGAAATTGATCGAAACAAGCAGCAGGAGCATCAATATTGGCTGATTTTGTCAAGTTTGAGAATATCCTACAAGACATAAAAAATATTATACATGTCAGCTTAGCTTAGAAACAAGAAATAAACATCCACACAAGATTGAAGAAAAGAAATGTTCTTTAGCAAGCGGATATTTTACTTGAGAGATCGACAAAGATTCTCAGTGGCCGAGGCATCTCTTAATGCTTGAAGGGCAATTTTCTGCGCGGTTTCTCGATGTTCAATAGCTTCCTGGAAATGCATCGAAACGAAATTTGTATTTTTAATTTTTGTTCTGTTTTTCATATACATTTTGTGGTTCATTAAAGTTACACTTACCTTTCCAAGAACACTAAGCTTTCCAGGCAAATTCATGTGTAGGCTTGTATTACTGTTGGAAGAATTCATATCACCATGTTGAGATTGTTGTGATGATTCTATAGTCGGAGATGCTACCGAGTTCACACTCATCAACCTCGGAGGTGGAGTCGAACTCTTCTTCTCCTGCAAACCAAAACCAACCAAAAAAAAAAACAAAAAAAAAAAAGCAATGACGAAAAGTAACAAGCAACTTCCATTCACACAAAAATTTGCACACAGCAAAGATGTACCTACAGCTGTGTTGAAGGGAGTTTTCAAGATCCTTTGCTCTCTATCACAAACCACGCTTTTGCTCCTACCAAACTTACTCCCGCTAGGAGTTACCACACAACTTCTGCGAACCAAAGGTGAGACCTCAGCCATCTTCGCCAAAACCCCGCCACCAACCGAGCACCGCACTGCACTCCCATCCCTCATAGCCCCCTTCCCTCTAATCATAGGAGATATCAAAACACTGTTACCACCACCAGAGAATTTAACCGGCAGCCGTTCCTTGACGGGCGTGGCACACTGGTCGAAATCCAACGGAACGGGCTTCAAAACCCTAGGGGACCCAAGAACACTTGAACTATTCTCACAACCATTGGGCCCCAATCCCCAAGAACACCGCTTAACACTATTGTGATTCTTGTCGGATTTTTGGCCCCTGGCACGCAGGCCCATGAGCGGCTCGGGAGTCCCGATCAAGGGGTGGCGTCCGGGCAGGGGCTTGGCGCCCCTGACGATGGGTACGGGGGAGCCGGGTTCGAGCCTGTCGACGTATATGAACTGGCCCAGCTGCATCTTGTCGCTCATGACAAGATCGTCTTGGTCGAAAGGGAGGCTGACGTATATGGAGTGGGAGGAATCGGAGAGCTTGATGTAGAAGCCTTGTTTGGGAACGAGGCTTTTCTCGTCGAGGTCGGCGGGGACGATGTCGGTGACCTGGAGGAGCGAGCTTCTGTGCTCGCTCGTCGGCTTCAGTCCCGTGCTCAGGCCGTCGAGGAGCTTCAGCAGAATCCCGGGGGCCAGGGCTGCCATATGATCGGGTTCTTGGATTTTTTGATGAATATTTGACGATGATTGTGATTTTTGGGTTTGAATTGAGGGTTTTTTTGGTGGGGAGTAGTAGTGAAGGGAGAGAGAGAGAGAGAGAGAGAGAGAGAGAGAGAGAGAGAGAGAGAGAGAGAGAGGTCTAACGGTCGAATCAGAATTGGGGATGATTTTAAAATTTATGTGAATTTGGAACGTTGAAGATAACAACGGTCATGTAATTTAGCAGTCTAGGCCAGCGGGTGACTCACGACTCATGTGACTGTCATTCAGCCCCACCTCTATTTTCATTTTCATAATTATAAAGTCCATGAATTATAATAATTTGTTGATGGACATTTATTTTTCGAATAAGGATAATATATATATATATATATATATATATTGTGTATCTTAATCATTGATTTTATGTAGATCAATGACTCATATTAATGAATTGAAAAATATATTAATTAAATAAAAAGAATTATTATCATTATATTTACAGTAATTATATAATAAAAAAAACCTTAACAACACTAACTGTCATTGACCGTTCGGCCGCAGTCGTTAACCCTCGGCCAAGGCACCTCTCGAAGCCCACCTCCCTTGCCACCGTCATCGGCTTCAGCGGTTGGAGCTCTTCGCCAACGACTGGAAACATGTTCTCCGGCGAGGCAGACAACAGCGAGGCACGAGGCAGCCAATTTCTGCAACCAAACCTTGAATAACGAGGTGCTAGGCGGAAGACACTGAGCAAGCCTTGTAAAGGAGGAGGCAGAGACGACGACCTAAACATCCAACGACAACGAAGACAGAGGTGAGACGGTCGTGATTCTCCTCCCCAATGCGTTCGAGATTTCGGTATGCGGAGTTCATCGAAAGGGAGTCTGGTGTTGTTCGCGAGCTCAAGGATTGACAACTTTGGCAGCAGAAAAGAGGGATTTCGGTGGCGATGATCATAAATTACAGGTCGAGATCAGACATCAGAGCACTTCGATTTGGAATTGCAGAGAAGGGAATTGGACCTTGTTGCAATTTCAGTAAATTATGACTTAATATAATTTGATCCTTGGGGTTAATTTATAAATTATTTGAAGTTTGAATAACTACATTATAGCCATTAAGTTTTATATTATATAACTAACACACATTTAGTCTTGTGCATATTTAGATAATATAATACACAATGCATATTTTAGTTATAAATAATGCATAACCAAACAGAAAATAAGTTTCGCAGCCCCTTATTTTATTAGCAAAGCTCCAAACAAAATCAAACAGTATGATTTTTTTTTTTTTTTTCGGGCCCAAAACTGAGCCAAATAAATTTGATTCCGTTTGAATTGAATTTAGTAATATCAAGGCTGATGGTTCACTTTTTTTAATTTCTTTTTTATGTCAGGCCCAAAATTGGGTCAAATTAAACATAACCCAAATGCACAAAACCATATAGCACAGTCAAAGTTTTATCTACCACACAAATATAGAACATTCAAGAAGGTGGTAGAGCCAGGTATTTAATGTCTAAAATCATACCATCTGCAACATTTTCGCCGTTTCTTCTTCACTTTTAAATTGTTTCTCTCATCCGAGACAAACAATCAGATTGATTCCGATTTTGTTTAGTAGTCGTAGACATGCTTTTAATTTATCAACGTCGAAGCTATTGATCTAGATCTATGTACGAATAAACCCTAAAAATTTTAAGGGTTTTATATTAAAAAAGGATTAGATCTAGACAAATTTCAATGCAATCTTTTGCCACCGTTTCTAAAATATAGAAAACCAGTGAAATCTGTCAATACATCTTCGCAAATTTCGCTTTACATTTCTTATAATATTTTGTTGTTACTGAGTTTTAAACAATAGAAACCCGGTATAGTTGTGGTGTTAAAACAATGTTTTGAATTTTTTAAGTTGCTGCCGAATTCTAAACAATAGAAACCCGGTACAACTGTGGTGTTCAAACAATCTTTTGATTTTTTTTATATGTTTTTATAACTCGTTTTAATAATTTTATTATAATAACATTAGAATATGTTTCAAATGAAGGCATTTATTTTATTAAATTTTATACAAAAGTTGTTTTGCAAATATTAGGGTGTCATACAATATAATAGAGAAAAATAGCAACAGATCTACAGATTTTTAAATATATTCAACTTATTTTTTTTAATAGATGTAAACGAATATGCATCCAAGGCTTATTATTATTATTATTATTATTATTATTATTATTATTATTATTATTATTATTATTATTTTGAAATTTGTTGGACTATGCATTTACGACTCTATATTTATAGGAGTGAAAATAAAATTGGCTTTCTATTAAAAAAAAAGGAATTTAAGAGGATAACTATAAATTTAATTTAGGTGAATGACTCTAATCTATATGAGTGCGTACAGGTCAACTGACACTATGATTACGTTATTTATTTATGGAAGATATATGGGTGCATTATTTTTATATTAATTAATATTAATGTCTAGAAAAATTGTAACTGAAAAAAAAAAATCAGTTATTGGCGGTACTTATGATTGTGCTATTTCGTTTTGATATAACTATTTAATTTTTTAATTTAATTGTTTGCATATATATCATCAATATTAATAATATTTTTTGTGATTTGAGAAATTATGATGTTGTTGGATGTAATGTTATTTGAAAAATCTTCAAATTTATTTATTTTTTATGCCATTGAATGTAATTCTTTTGGCATTTGTTGAGTTTTATATTTTTGTTGTTTTATGTGTCACAAAAAAAATATAATAATAAGTTAATTTGCAAATGTATTTTTTCGTGCAAAAACATATTGTTATAAGATTTAAACATTTTAGAAGGACAAAAAAAAATCAAATATGTAACCAATTGAATCACGCCACGTCATTATTTCAGAAGTCACAAAAATTATTTAATTAAAAATTATAAATGTTAATGATTGTAGGATAGTGAAAAATACTTACTTTATGTAGCACAAAATTTATTTGGGCGGGAAAACAAAATATTATAGAGAATTAAGTGAAAACAATTGACTTATATAGCTAAAACTTTATGGGCGAAAAAATGTAGGTTATCTCATGAATTGAATAACCTACATTTATATATATAGAGGTGTATAATATGTATATATATATATAATATTTTGTACAAACTAATCAAATGAGACAAACGGAAGTATCGACATAGTTTAAAACGGTTCGATATAAGAAACGGTACGAAAATGAAAAAAAAAAAAAAAAAATCTTTAGGTACATTAATTTCGGGTGGTTTATTTAAAAGGGATAGTCAACTTATGAATTTATTTAAGTAACCCTCTCAACACTTTTTTTGTTTAAGTAACCCATTCTTTAAATAAAAGGTAAATAAATAAATGAAATACCTAAAATATCCTTAGATAAGAAATGAAAATGACTCTACTACCCTTCTTATATTTTGTGTATCAACTTTGTAATAAAAAAAAATAAAAAATGAAAAATCAAAAGCTGGGAAAAAAAAAAAAAAAAAAACGATCGGTCTCTCCCGCTCTGCTCCATCTCTCGGCTCTGCTCTTTCTCTCTCGCTCGTCTCTGCTCTCTTCTCTTGGAAAGGTGAGAACAAAAGTTGATCATTTTACGTAAATTTTGGGTTCCATATTGTAAAAGAAATATGAAGAACAAGAAAATATATTATCCCTTTATTTTGGAGATTAAGCATGTTGGTAGGGTTTGGTGTTATTTTATCTTGGTTCATATTTTATGATTGATAAACATGTTGGTTTCATATTTATAATGTTTTTGTGTCATTGATGTTTATTTTTTGCATTTTTTAGATGAAGTTGTATATAACGAATGTACAGTCGTTATAAAGCTCCATAAGGAATGTACATTCGTTATCTGGAAGAACAACAAGAGAAAATATTATCCCTTTATTTTACAGATTAAGCATGTTATGGTTTATTGTTATTTTAAAGATAAAGCACTTTGGGTTCATATTTTTTGATTGATAAACATGTTAGTTTCATATTTATCAAGTTGTGCCATTGAGTTTTTTTTTTTT